TAAAAAATAAGAAAGTTAAGCCTGCATACTAAAGTGATATACAGGAATATAGAGAGGGGATTAACCAATGTACGTTTCGAAATCAAGGGAGTATAAGAACAGTCCACTTCCGGAGCATGCACCTGATGAGATCGAGCCGGAGACTGAAACTGACGATTAAAAAAAAATATTTTCTTGGGCTTCCTCCCTTCTCCTTTCCCACTTCCTGTCTCCGATCCGACTTTTTTTTTCCCCTTCCCGTCTTTCATATAGTCAGTCCCAGCATTTCCAGAATTTGATTGTTATAAGAAATTCCAAGCCCATGCGGGTCACGCCGCTTCTTCCTTTCCCCGCTCGGACGGACTGTATTGTACAGCACTTGTCTCAATCCAATGGGACATTTCCCCTTTAAAATATTTTGCCAATGCATCGGAATGGTCGAAAAAAATATCGATATCTCCAACTATCGATAGTGGTATCGATGCATCGATCTATCGTGACAGCCCTATCAAAATGTCAAAAATAGTAGATTAGACAGCCCTGTCACAGGGCTGTCAAAGAGGTGACGCTTGCCAAGAGGAAATGCCCAGAGTTTTGAAGACCAACGCCCTTCACGTGCAATTATGTTCCACTTGTACCGGCTCTTCGATTGCGAACTTTAAAGACAAACCCTGATCTGGGACGCCATCCAACCGGAGGGACACATGCAATGCAAACATCCCAGGAAGCACATCTCCTTAGGCCCGCATTGGCTTAGTGGGGAAGCATGGGTCAACATCGTGGTGAGCTGCTCATGTAGGTCCCACACCGGCGCTAGTGCAACAGTCAGCATTTGTCCTATCTGGGAGAAGACCGTCCATCACACTTATTCGAACTAGGAAGGTTTACCCAAATGAAGCGAGATGGCACCAAAATAGCTGGTATTTCATGGGTACCGGAGAAGGACTTGCGTCCCCCAGTACTACTCAAATGGTACCTGATCTTTTCCACGCAGACAACGTAAAGGAAGTCACTTGAACACCTCAATACATTTGTTGAAACAGGTTAAACAGTCCAATAAGATTTCTCGAATTTGCGGAGAAAGAATGGTTCAACTGGGGCCCTGACTGGATGAGGTGAGGATTAGTTGAAAGTCGACAATTCGATTGCGGAGATTGTATCTGCTTCCTCTTCGGAGGATGTAGGTCCGATTGTGATCAGAGAGATCACTCAAGGGGTCTTGCATGACAAGTAGTCCTACTTCCGGGGAGGGAAGGAAATCAGGTGAATGATGGATGAAATTGCAAGGAGCATCTAATTCTGTATGGAAAACGAATGTCTCAAGAGGAGACAATCGAGGGAGGTAATTCTCGCCCGAGTACCAGGACCAAGAGACCAATTATCCATCATCAACCATGAGGCAAAATATGTCGCTCTGCTCTTCGAGATTCTTTGAAGTGCCCGAAATGGCAGATAGCGCGGCAAAATATTTTCTGCAATGATTTTATATACCCTTTGGATGTCTTTAAAATTTTGTTCATTTTTCTCCAGCCGTTTTATCACATGACGTTAGGTACTAGACAGTAAGCAACTAGGATAGTCAAAAAACAAAAAACAAAAATAAATAAAACAAAAATACAAAAATATTTAGCTTTAAGAGGGTTAGGCCTACCNTGATTTTGAAACAAACCCGAAAAGACGCATTCTACTGCATTATCCAACCGATTGTGGAGTGATATTCCTCCCATATCCTCCGTGCCCACCGGACCTCGCCTCTTGATATCACTATCTTGAATCTTGAATGAGCGGTAACGCGAATTTAGCTTTTGCATGAGTATTCGTATACGCAGGAGGATGGGTGGTACTCATTGTGCACACCAATATCGGACCAGAACTCCTCCATCTGCCCATGAAAGTGCTGCTCCTTGCGAAAGGATGGTGTGGGGCAAGAATTTTGCAAGAATTTATTGGTATGGCATGGAAATAATGTAGCCCTATCGCTAGGAGACAGATCCACAAACTGCAGGAAACTGGGTCATCTTAGAGGTAGAGAGGGAGCAGGAGACTAAAACTAGCTGAAACTGAAGAAAGCTACGTTTATGCGGAAGAAGCCATTCTTTCTTCAGAAATCCAGGGATGCAAAAATCCCATTTGCAAATTGCCAGACGTAGGGGCGAGTAAAAGATCTGTTAAGTGGATTTTTCCATGCAGAGAGAAAAAAAATCTAGAGAAAATTGTCCTTCCTATTGAGTAAGGCAGGTCCTGCAGTCAGCGTTGAGGCACGAGAGCAAAAATAAAAATACAGTTGCTTTTGTAAAATTGTTGGTGGGGTAGAACGGCTAGAGATAAATTGGCGAAAATGTTAAGATGTTTAAAGACTGCACAGATGCACGGATGAAAGAAACTTGATCTTGTTAGATAATTTTTTTTTTAGAGGCGCCACAGAATTCCAAAGAGCGGCGGTTTTTTTTGCCTCACCCGGTAGAAGCTTACTTCAGGGCTCTTCTAACCGCCTGATAGTCAGGTCTCACGTCAGCGTTTAATGTTGACTTCATGGGGCTCCCAATGTGGTGGGTGATGTATGACTGTGGGGTCCATGCTTACAACGGTCCAATTTTGGGAACCAGCATAACATATGGCATAAGTGAGAATCCAACAAAATTCCTACGTTAGCCCAATCCGGGTGTGCTGCCTGGAATTGACATGCTGCCCTCGTTGCTGAGAATATTCTTTCTGAGGGATCTTCTTCGATCAGGACCTTTTCTTATAATTGATGATTGCAGAAAGTTTTCTAGAGTCGCTGCTGTCAGAGGACGCCCGGATCAGGGATCGTTTTGTCATTTATCCGGTTTTGTAAGAGGCGGTGCAGTTTGAACTCCATTGCACGTGATGGGGCTTAGTACCCAAAACCCTGGGCTTTTCATCTAGGCAAGCATCAACTGAGGATAGTCGCTTCCATTTGCAGAAAATGATGGCAAAATGATGATAGTATATGGGGAGAATCGATTTCATACCTCCATCCGCACAGTCACCGGATGTCAACAGAATAGGAAGTTCCTTGCATAATAAATCTTGAAGTCTATGCAACAAATGAGTGAGCTTGCACCAGTTCACCTTCATTTATAGGTAAAAAGTCTAAAGACTTTTTGAGTAACTCACGTGCACACAGATTTACCAACAGCGACTTGAATAGCCTGAGGTCGACGTTATTGCATTGAATGGGAGCCTTCAGCGGATTCTGGAAATTAGCGGATGCTGTCTGAAAATTGGATAGGGGACTCACTACCATGACGAAAATGAATGACAGGAAGGAAAAGTGGACAAGGGACCAGGAAATGGAATGTGGGAAGTATGGACTTAAATGAGTATCCCATTTTATCCTTACGTCACCATGGGCAGGCGCGAGGATTTCCTAATTCATACCTGAGTGAGGTAATCCGAAAGCTTACCGATCGTTGCATGTCTGTGTGTGTGCTAGTGCTCAAGCACCCTAACTGATGAATATACCTAGTAGAGCTCTGAAATTGTCACACTGATTGAAAAGAAATATAATTTCTTTTACTCTGGTTTGCCCAGACTTTGTCTGCATCTACTACTGTAAGACAGATAATTTTCCCTGTTTGAGAGTGAAGGTCATTCGAGACCACGTTTTGCAGGATTGAATGTGTGCTGAAAGTCTCCTTCCGCTCATATGTATACGGAAAATGATTTGAATATGAGGAGGCACAGGATGTCTTTGGGGAACAGTTGCACATGCAGGATTCACCAGCAATCTCTCAATTTCGTATCTTGTTAATTGTTTCCTGTCTTAGCATGCGGAAAATATAAACACTGCAGGAGGGACGAGAAATGCAAAAACAACATGTGCGTCAAGTGTCCAGAAGGTGAAGAGGGATGCCATTGCAAATCACATCGAACATGCAAGGGTAACCTGAAGTGTATCGAAGGAAAGTGCGTTGGTGAGTGACGTCACATGTAGGCTATCCAGAACAATTTCGCATGTTTAATCAAATAACGGGTGCTATTTCACATAGTTATAACTTTGGATATTTTGGATTTCGTAGAACATCCTCTGCAGGACCCTTCTCAAAGGCGTGTAGAAAAAAAACCGATGAATTGGAATCACAATGATCACCAACGGGGGCGTATGACTAAAAATATATATTTTTTGCTTTATTTCGCAAGATTTTTCTGCCGTTTTTTGCTGCCTATCGTGTCAAGTTCAGTGAACGTTCTCCACGTATTCATCGGCATCGTCGGCAGTACAATTATTTTGTGATATGTTTGCTGTGAAAGACTTATCAATGAATACTCTATCAGAGTTTTTATTTTATGGGTACATCCAACCTCTTATAACGCATCTCGATGATCAGTGGTCCTGACAGTCTCCAATTGCAACCTTTTCTGTGGCGGGTTATGCGGAAATAATAACGGGCGCACTAAATTTAGCCAAAACTTACTGTGACTAAAACATTTCGCCATTTCCCAGCCTAGATGACAGTAGTTTCTTTTTGATAACTTTTCCTCTCTTTTTTGCTCCGAAAGAGCAAAAAGAAGAGAAAATTGAAGTAATTTTCTCCTCTTTTATTTCTTCCTCGAGTAAAAAGGGAGGGAAACTGGAGTCAGCGCTCTACTGTTTTAAAGAGTGCTCCCTATAAACGGTTAACATTGGCATATTCAATCAAGACCTTGTCAAAAAAAAAGAACGCTTCTGTGAGCATGGGATGTCATCCCCCATGGTGACACGACAAAAGTTTATTGCTACGAGGTTGCGGGATTTCCATCACACAGAGAAAAGGGGGAGTTTTGAAAGGATCGAGAGCGAGCGTGACTGTGACCTGACTTGGGAAGACGCGCGGCACGAGTGCAGGCGATTGGATGATGATCTGATTACGTTTAGCAGTGAAGCTCAATACCGCTACGTCATGGAACTCTTGGATCCAGAAGAAAGTGAGAAGATGCAAGTGGCCCTATTAGGAAAAAAAGGTCGATAACAACCTACTTTCTGACTACCCTGCATCTTTTTCAGACTATTGGTGGGGATGCAGGTGGGGAAAGAGAAGCAGGGAGTTCATCAATGCAGACGGCAAGGCCATTAAAAAGTACCCATATTCGGCTTGGGCTGGAAAGGAACCAAAGAGCGGAAATGAACGATGTTGTTTCATTGAGGGAAAAACTGGAAAGTAAGATCTCAATTCCCCTCTCTTCATTTTCATTTGGTCTCACAATTTCCTTGTGTGTGGGCATACAATTGAATTAATGCACCAACTTAATTGATCATTATCGAGCTCGAGGAAGTCCATCTACTTTAACGAGGGCAGTAAACTTTTTGACGTTTCCTTCTATCATAGGTGGAGGACCTCTGCTTGCGACAGGAAGCTCTGCGCCATCTGTGAGAAGTCTCACAGAGAGTCACCAGGTATGCGAATGGATTTCTTTCCTATCGATAAAAGGACAGTCCTTGTAGATTCAATTAGGAGTAATATGTGCAGTAGTTATGACAAAGAAGATTATTTAAAAAATAATCATTATTAAATGATTATTTATTACAAAGACCTCCATTAAAAAATTCGCTGGCTGTTCCTCCAAAATTTGTCGAGAAACTTGCTATTTCCGCCCTCATATTAAATTATTCCATGAAATGAGTCCAGGTGAATTTTCGACATTTCGAGTAAAAACAAAAACATCCTTCTTGCAGTTTTACGATTATGAAAATATATTACCAAATAAACATTGTATTGATACAACGTTGACAACTGTTGAAGTATACTTCTCTACGAAAGTCTTTCAATGCTATCCGTATTGACTTTCTCGGCACATGATTAGCTCGGAATACAATGATTTCTCAGGTTGGGATACCATTTAGAGTGGTAATTAATTTGAGGGGGTAGACGCAAGAGTGAAAAAGCTCAAGTGTTAGAGGCCAGGGGCCTCTAACACTTGAGCTTTTTAACACTGATATTCTCCTGATCACTGATCTCTAGCACTGGTATTCTCCAACTGGTTCAAGTCTTGGGGCTTGGAAGGATACACTTTTTATGTGAATTTATAATGTAAAGCAATGTGAAGTTTTGATTGCTTTACATTATCGTTTAGTTGGAGCACCCTGTAAATCTTTATTTTGCCTGTCTATTTTCGAAGATGTGTCTTTCTTGTCTGTTACTTGTGAGTTATTATGAGTTACTCATCAAACAACCTGTAGAAGAACTCACGTTATAGCAACAGTCAATAATATATTCAATAATAATATATAGTTGGGAAGGCGGAAATTCTACGTGGAGGCGAGAGTGGAAAATACTTATGTTTCCCTGGAAAGATTTCCTCATGTTGTATCAATCGTCTTAGTAACGAATGCAACTAAAGATGAGTGATACCTCTCGATAAGTCACAGTTTCGGTAAGACGTGGGTCATCCGACTATTCCTCTGAAAATTTTAGCAGTAACGATTCTAGCGAAATAAATCAATAGGTAATTACTATAAATTTTAATAAATGAGGAATGAAATGGCCTTCGCAAGGTCGCCGCCTTCACTAAGTCACGGGATCCGGCCGCCCACGAATTAGCGGGGGACACCGTCTTGTGTTTCGCTATTCAAGAATCAACCGAAATGTTACCAATAAAGAAATATTTGCTAAAATATTTTATAAATAACATATTTTAGCAACACAAAGAATTGCACAGTGGTCATTTACAGTATATTTGAGTGATCGAATGAGAAAGGTAGAAAGTAACTCAATGAAGACAATGGAAATCAGAAAGTTTTGCGAATAAACATTGATTTTTTTTTTACACGCATACAGCATATTTTTGTTCAAAGAGTATATTCAAATACCTCACATTCAATTCAATGACATTGTTTCAGAATCTGAGGAGAGCCCGGAGAGCCCTGAGAATACCAGTAAGAGCATTTCCATTCAGTATATACTGTAAATGTCGCGTTATTTTTCTCACCTATGGATCTGCCCAGATGCCTCATATGAAAACCTCAATGTTGTTTCAGGTTTGAGGGATAGCCGTGAATATCATGGTGAGTTTCGATACTTTCCCTTAAAAAAAAAACTAATGTAAGTTTGGTAATGGATCTTTTGAAGTAAAAATTGTAGTTTTCCACAAATTATGAGGAATATGCACACAGGGATTCAAGAAGAAAGTCTCCAGCAGTGGCGGCTTGAGGACGAAAAATCTGGGGAAGCCAGCATTGCAACTTACAAGCAACAAGAATTTATTATAGCATTAATGCTAGAGTGATGCACAAAAGGAGTGCTTAGGTCAGTCTCTTTGCTTGGTGATTCGCAGTTCTTGAAATGGCAGGTATGAAACAAAGGACTGAACGAGAAAGCGTTCCAGGTTGGCATTTTAATTGGATCGAAATCGTGTAAAAGCAGAGCGGATACTTCCATCGAACATTTGAGGGAGAATAGGGGCACATCCGGTCTGAGGAGAAAAGTAACAGTCTACTTTCTCCTCTAGCTTGTTTCAGAACTTTACTAAAATAGATTCGCATCTAGCTCACTTAGCGAATATCATAATTATGTAGAATAGTCTAATGTCTGCCTAATGACTTTTCCATCCTTGGTAATTGTATCGAGTACCGTGACATGATATATGATTTTGAAACAAACCCGAAAAGACGCATTCTACTGCATTATCCAACCGATTGTGGAGTGATATTCCTCCCATATCCTCCGTGCCCACCGGACCTCGCACCTTGTGGCTTCACGCTGTTTCCCAGAATGAAGTCCCTTCTGAAAAGCAGCCAATTTGGCGACAGACGTTCTCAACAAACGCGTTGAAGGAGGTTGCCGAGAATGGGTTACAGCTTGTGTTCCAGGCTCTTCACAAACTTTGGAAAAAGTGTGTCGCAAGTCAAGGGAACTATTTCGAAGGGAGTCATACTGAAATTTGCTTTTATGCATAGTTTGTTGGTATGAAGGTCGTTCCTGGAACTTTTTCATAGGCCCACGTACATTAGTGTTAAATTCATTCAAATAGAGGCTTTAGACCATACTAAAAATACTTTTGTCAGGCTCTGGAAAAATGTACTGCATCGTTTTAATTATAAATAAGTAAGAAAATTCTTTGAATTGGCCAAGTACTGTGCAACCGTGGAATCCTGAAAACTTGGATATCAAGCATCCTCTCTTCTGCACGAGTGTTTCTATATATGCGTCTATCCAATAATAAGTTGGGGGAATGAAACTGTTTTGTTTCAGAGTCAAACGAACGCAAGTCAAGATATTCAAGTTCAGGTAAGGGAAATTATACTCGTTGGGAATTTGTGCTGCATGTATTTCCCGTAGATGAGTGTTTCTATATACTTCCCATTGAAAATAGTGCATTTTCTGCTTCTATGAGGAAAAAAATTCGAGATCATCAGGAGATTTTATATTTCACAAATTGCTATCCCGTGAATCTGGCATTAAGTTTATATGAATCTATGGTCTGAGTCATAAGTCTGATGTTACACCTCGAGCAACGTTTGACCTTCATTTATTTTATTAATTAATATGTGCATGTTTCTCTCGCACTTAAGAGCTCCTATAAAAATCTGAAAGAGTAATTATTCAAGCAAGGTTAAGATTACATTGAATGGAAACTATGCAAGATTTGTGAACGGTCCACACTCTGAACGTATACAGAGTGAATCAAAAGTAAAGCTACATTTGAGAAAACCCCAGAAATCAGACGAAGTGAAGTCACTGATGACCTTTGTTTCGTCCATTGACAGCCGCGCACAGATCAAAAAGTAAGAAAGTTTCACGTGGGATCGCAAACGCTTGCCTAGCATGGGAGCTTGAAATACTGGCATTATTTGATGCTGAAGATAGTTTTTATCTTGTGGTCGCTTTTAGCCCATACTTTCTTCATAGATTCCACCGCACTGAAATTCAATGGCCTCGTGAGTGCGCTGGTCATTCCTCAAGGAGAATATATACTAAACTATCCCAATGATTCAATGTTATATGCTACTATGGATAGAACAAAACCTTCATGACAATCGCCGCTGGAAAATATTGAAATTTCATTTCATCACGTGAGACGTGGTGTCTTAATATCAACGAGGGGCACTCTGACGTCATGATTGACATGCGTCATTCATTTGACAACATCCGTGACTTAGCAATACATATTTTGATCATTTTCCCTTATTAAACGCTACTTATCAATCATCCTGTTCGGTAAAAAGAGATCGAAATGGATGCTGTAATGAAGAAAATTAAATATAAATCTCTTCATATGACTTCTTAATTTCGCTCTAAGTTTTGTAGGGAGGGTTCAGAGTATAACATCAATAATTATTTGTCAGTGGAAGTACAAGCGTATTAGAGGAGGGAGAGTCCAGAACACTTCTGATTGTTGCCTTTAGAATTGGGACGGTTAACAGCCCCCATGGTGAATGGTGTGTCAAGGTGGGGTAAATTCCGAGCAAAAACTGAGAAATTATGTAACCCTTCATTTTCGGGAGGTAGGTATGTTGAGGAGCCACTGACGGCTTCGTATGATCGCAATCGCAATTGGAAGAATGGTTTGGAGCAGTAGTTGTCAAACCAAGGGGAGGAGGAGGAGGGCAAGGAAGCCTAGGGGTGGATTTTTGAACAGAGAACTATCCGATAATGCAGCAATATTAAAGTGAGAAATCGCTTTATTCAAGTGAAAATACATTATATTTCCTGTAAATAAAGCAGCATTATCGGGTAGTTCTCTGTTCAAAAATTCACACTCGACCTTTTAAACATTTTGCTTTTAAATTTATTTTGATAACCATCAAGCTTTTTTCTTTTTCTTCTACTTCAATGGGAACCTGCCTTCCTGCAACTTGTTCGTCGGACTGCTTTAATCTACTTCGAAGTTTTCTTAGTTCTGTTTCCAAAATTTTTGATGGCGCGTCCCTTGGTAGGGGTACGATCTTGGTTCAATTTTTTTCTTCCAATGGATCATTTTTGGAAAGACGACTGGATGACTGAAAGAGCTATGTCAATATGTTCGCAGACTCGAAAGTACAGGGTGCTGCGAAAGTTACCATAAACTAGTTGCATATAAAAGATTGCGTATTTTCTGACGTCATATTGACCATTTTCACAACAAAAACATAAATAACAGAAAAATGATCAAATCATCAAACTTGTCTCGTAATTGATAGCTAAATGGGTCGGTGGAGCATTTTCAGATTTCTCCTTCCATGCTCTTACACCTGTACATTTACTGTAATCCGGTACGTCTTCAACACAAAAATCTCACTTTGCTTAGTTTCCTCAGCATGGTTACCGGGGTTACGGGGACTCTGTATTAGAGACCAGCTTCATCCGGCAGTATTACTCTGAAACAGACTGCATGGACAAGCTTGCCCCACTCCGTATATTAGTATTAGTAATGTAGGACATTGCTCTCATGTTAATGGCACCCATAGGCTGTCCTATCCATAAAAATCCCTGCTGAACATTTGACTTAGCACCAAAAAGGAATATCAACAGCTTTCTCAGGACTATGAATATTCTTCAATTTCTAATCTTCCCAGTGTGAAACTGAGTCTTCTGCAGGTGCTTCAATGAAGGAATAATATCGATGTCGTTCTGATGTTGAAAATGAGCATAGTGTCGTTATATCCAATATCGAGCCCCGATTTAATATGATTAGCGTCAAGAGGCAGTTACACAGTTCTCATTAAAATTAATGACTGGTGACGGGCACGTACAACATATGACAGGTTCGAGAACCGTTGGCTCAGAGGGAATTGTGAGAATGTTATATCGCAAAGGTTTCGTTATTATGTCGCATCGTTATTTTTAATATGACGAAAGCAATGAAAAATGTATTGTGCATTGTGTCTTTCCTTGTCATTTTATTCCCTCAGCCTTAGGGAATAAAATGACAAATGTTTCCATCGAAGAGCACGTACCTTCTAACTCAAGCAACACAATGAACTCCATAATTATTTAATAATTTAAAATGTAACGTTAGAAATTATCCCAATAATAAAAGCGGTCAATTGTTGACAAATGAGATTCACCTTTCAAAATTTTTGCCGAAAATATTTAATTTAACTGTGCGTCCAAGTACTCCACGTCAATTCAATGGTTTTTTTTGTTGCAGATCGTGAAGACGATGATTCCAGCCATGAACATTTAGGCAGAAACATTGACGTCATGGGCATGTGTCACATCATTTCTTATGGATAAGTCAAGGGACTCACCTTGATATATTTCATAGTTGTTATTATGTCATTGCCTCATATGTAGTCTCTTTGGCTTCGTTTCAGACTCGGAGAGCAATGAACGAAGAGGTGAGATTCGAATATCTTCAAGCCAATCTACCGCAAAACTTATCATTCAACTTTGCGTTCCAACTGTCCATGTCAAAACCTTTAAGGAATATCAATGGAGGAATGTTGTAAGAAGTCATTCATTAGATGATAAGCGAAGGAGAGGCAATATTACCATGAATGGAAATTCTTGCTTGATTTCCAGGTAGAAAACTACAATTTTGTATTGCAGAAGTACTGATCAAAACTCAAATGCCCTCTCCGCTATTCGCGCGTATACTGTACGAGTTTTCAATTTCCTGCTCGTTTCTGCTGTCGTTGCGTGTACACGATCAAAACGAAACTCAAAATGAATTCTAGTCACCTATTGAGAATTTCGTGGTACTTCGTACTGCCTGCATACAAAAATTGCACAGAGGCTCAAACCACCCGTGCAAAACTCGAAACTCAAAGGGTTAAGAGTTTTTCGGGGATACATTTAATCCACTTGTAGACACCAGATTCCAGAGCGAAACGACTTGAATATCCTATGCCAAGAACCAGAAGAAGCAGAGTCTTGAGCCTAAGGATACAAGTATTGAATAGAAATCGCTGTTGGCCTTGGTCCGAGGAAGAAGGAGTATAGTATAGGTACAGGACTGGTAGCAGACATGACTAACATGCTAAGGGAGTCAATTCGTTCCATATTGACGGACCACCTTCCCATGACGGTTGTGCCAAGTTCGTAAAACAAAACAGTAAAACAAAAAAGACAGACTTGTTGCATTTTGCACAGACCTTTAGAAAAGAGTCAATGTGAAAATATTCTTGAGTTTTTGTTTTGGAACGTCCTCCCTATTCACCAGATCTCCATGAGATTGTTTTTCCTCTTCCCCAAATTGAAAGACGCTGTGAATGGTCAAAGTTTCAACGATTTGGAAGGCATTCAGTGTCACGTGACCAGAGTTCTTAAAAGGATTCACATAGATTTCCAGGAATGAGCGTATAACTTAACAAAGGGGATTACTTTGAATGAGCAAAAGCGGCTACTGGCTATTCCGGTGTAAGTATTTATTTATTTTTCAGCAACACAATCACTTAATTTTTTTGTCACACCTGGTATTGCAAATTTCCGCTCGAATGTTCCACTGACAGGCTGTGGGGATTGAAAGTAGAGATATGTGGTGCATTGTCTCTCTAATGGGAATGAAATGACAGACGTTTCTATTGAAGAGTAAATATCTACCACGAGGAGCTCATGAACATCATTTCAGTGAAGAGATAACTGAAATTGGGAAGGGATTTAGCCAGTAGGTCATTTGTTCTCCAAAGGACGACAATTCACTTAACCGAAAATTGAGCTTGGCAAAGTGTTAAGTGCCTAGATCATTCGGGAGTAATTTATGAACCAAAGTTAGGAATTAGCCCCAGAAAGAAAACTGGGTACAAATGTTTTGATTATGAGCGTCCACTTTCCAAAATTTTTCGGGCATGTTTCATCGAACTGTGTATCCAAGTACTTCATGTGCCAATAAATAAATAATACCATGGTGTTTCAGATTCTGAAGAGAACAAGTCCATCCCTGAAAGCTCAGGTAAGAACAATTACATTGAATGCTTGTTTCGCATAATTCCATATAGATATGCCATGGCATGTGCCTCAAAAATAATTTTTTTTTAAAATTATGGTTATGTCTTCACCTCGTATGTAACCTACTGGACTTTTTATTTTCCAGGCTCAAAGGAAAACCTTGAGCCTGAAGGTGAGTATGGAATATTTTCAAGTCAAAACCTCCTCCCTTCTTCTTTTTAATCGCATCGGTATTCCAAGTATGAATATTACAAGAAAAGTTATCTTGCACGTTGAGTCTCTCTTATTGGAACGAAATGACTAAGATGCATCAGTTGAAGAGTAAATTCCTTCTACCTTTAGCAAAATAATGTATCTATCCGTCCCGGCAGATTGGTGTCGGACCGGAAAAATTGCCTGCTTCCACTGTAGCCCCCCACACTTGACGAACTGCGTCAGAGCGGAAACGTGAGACAGATTCACAAAGTCTGTGCGATTCGTTTCATATATGGGTTAATAGGGCAAAAATTAACTCTGACAACGATGCCGAAGCGCAAACATGAGCTCTTTGTCGCGGAGAAGAATTTGGTAATCAACGTCTACGAGTACTTCTTGTTAGAACGTTTGCAAGGACGAGCAGGATCGTAGCGTAGGGTGCGCAGTCGCGTTGCTGACAGCCCACGCTTTGCTCGGAGCACCGTTTCGAATGTTTTGACCGAGTGGAAGCGAGGTAATAATGCTGGCTTTCAAGTCAAGTCTGGCCCTCGGAATCACCGACCACGTACTGTGGGTGAGGATACCATGGCGTTTGCGAAGGAAATCATTTGGGAACGCAACAAGAGGGTTATGTCAGTGTCAGTACCGAATATTGTTGGTCAATTGGAAGAGCGCCATCATGTCGGCGCAGGCGCAAGCGATGAAAGTGGGAGTGTTCTGAAGATGAATCGATCTTGAATAAGGTGCTCCTCAGAAAGGTCCGTGGGTGGTCACTGTCAGTTGGCCAATTCCAAGTGAATAAATGGACTAATTTTTGCCTTCACCTTCGGTAGCGAGTACGAAGTTATTCTTTAGCAAAGCTTTTCGCCCTGCTGTCCTAATGATCGTCTAATACCCAGTAAAAAATTTGTCATTAAGCCATCGATGGCTTTTTGTGGACGTGTATATAAGCCTTAGTTGGGACATCACTGGCACATGGTTGGCTTAAGCCAGCTTATGGTCGGGAATTTCCTGTTTACCCTTCATTTGGCCCCTTGGTGTACCTTACACAGATACACTCTTATCATATCCCACGCAACGTCCTTACCAGATGCTAAGGAAACCAGGAGTAGAATCGCATAGGAAGGCCTCTGTCCTCCCGCAGAAGGTCAGATACGCCTTGCGCGTGTTACATTGAACGAAAAGAAAGGTCGAGTAGCTTATCATGGAAAGTAGGATACTCCCACGGACCTCAGGGCCGAAATTTCCTGGTTTATTCCTGGGCTCGGTTACATCATCAGAGAAATATTTCAAGGAATCCAATTGTCTTCCTCTGAGGTCTATGTGAGAAACCATAGGGAACTGTGTCAAAGGGACAGGGGACTCATTTCAGTAGAATCCGGGAAGTGACTCCCTATTACGACCACTTTGGCTCCATCTCACGCCGGTTTTCTGAACCTTATCAGCCACATTCGTCATAAATGAGCCAACTTTCCCAGCTATGGCCCTATAATAAACCAACTTCCCCATTTATGGCCCGACGATAAATCAACGAAAATTTTTGACTGGGTAGGAGCCATTCTTTGCCGAGCTCCTAACTCATCATATTGACAAAGTTATCGGAGAAAATCCGTTTCCCGATTCCAATCTGCCGGGAATATATTTATTATTGTAGCTATTTAAGAACCAAAGTTAGGAAAGAAAATTCTTCAAAAAGTTTTTCTAAACGGGCATCCACTTTTTGGAGTTAGCGCTGCAGATGTTTCGCCGGACCGCGTGTCCAAATACCTGAAACGTGAATTGGGTGCTGTTGTTTCAGACCTTGAAGAGAGCGAGCCAAGCCGTGAAAGTTCTGGTAGGAACATTTACATTGTGGGTATGTTTCACATTCCTCTATGATCTGTCAAGGCATTTGTCTCGACATGTTTCATTGCCGTTGTCATGTCATTGTCTCATATGCAACCTCATGAATTTATTTCAGATTCAGATGATAGCCTTAGGCATCAAGGTGAGTTAAAACAATTTTCAAAGTCGAATTCTTTGACAAGAATGATAGTGACATGATGTTCCAGCTGCCGCATTCAACAAACTTTTAATTATCCGTATACTAGGATGTATTCAATAGATGCTCAGCAAAGGGGAAGCAAATTTACTTTGAACGGGAATCCTTGCAGGAAATTCCTTTCCGTATGTTAGATAAATGTAACATCTAAATGACTACTAATGCTGAAAGGAAGGCCTAAACACGACTGTAATTTCAGCGTATGATTGACTCGATTAGAACCTTAAGAGTATGAAGGATAGAGATGTTGGTTAAAAACCTAAATTATTGAGCATTACCGAGGCTGTGAAAGAGCTGGAATGTTCGGGAAAGAAGAGTTTAGAACATTTAGTCGAGGTAAGTACGAGTGTTGTACCTAAAATGTTAAGGTTTTCACCATTGCATCACGTATACTGGCTATATACCACGAAGTAACGTTGGTCGCCGATGCAAGCACTCGCGTTCTTTACTTGTAAGGTCTTCCAATCATATTGCCCTATTCTTCTCTGAGTTACTTGTTTTACTTTGACAATTGTGCAGCACTTCATATCCACTGGGATAAGCTAGTAATTGGTTCCAAATGTTCTATTTATCACAAAAGTACGCATGAAAACAAGAAAGTGCGCATGCCCTGCTAATAATGACGATATTTCAAGAAATAAGAGGACTACAAATTAAAATTGAATCCCAGAGATTACTATTTTGATTTTATTTCCTGTTCTATAGTTCTATTCTATAATCCGACGCACGATTTGCGTACTACATCATGCATATACACAATACAGCAAAAGTCATGAATCATAGGGAAATAGTATGGGAATCACTTCCTGCCTAGACTACTTGAAACTAACTTGCCAGCCTGTATTGATTTTGTAGTGCCAAAGTTATTTTAATCATGAAATTTGGTCCAAGGGACCCATGATGGTATTAAGTGACCCAGAGGGACAAAAGGTTACCCATTGGCAAAATTTAAAATGCTTATCCGCTTGCTAAAAGTCAACCAAAAGTAATACAAAATTGACGGATAATGTCCCAGAAACCACCAAAGAGAAGGGTATGAAATGTATTCTGTCTCTTAAATAACGTTCTCCGATGAGTCCAGGATAGCTCTCCTAAGCGACCGAATACTGACTGAGCATACGCACTGGAGAATAGTTCCACAGGTCTAGCCTTGTAAACAACGTCAAACGCCTTTAATACGTATATCATGGTCTGGGGGTCAATGTCGGTTCGTGGAACAATCATGATGCACTTCGTCAAGGGTGTGATGAACCAGGGAGATTACAAAGAGGTTCTGCGGGAGAGGATGCTACTGCAGACTCAGAACTGATTTCCGACAATTACTTCTACCAGCAGGACTTCACTCCTTGCAATATAGCCAAATCGGTCAAGGTTTAGATCTGAAGAGGCGAAGATACTGGCTTGGTCCTGAAGCTGCCCATAAAAGAACCCATTGAGATTCTCTAGGCCGAGCTCATGCCGAAACTGAAAGTCTGAACCAATCACCAAGCACAAAACTCATCGAACAGTTAATAATTGATGTCTGGTAAAGCATCCCGAGAATCAAAGGTTTCTGACTCCTTCAGGGAATGTCATACCGAGTGAAAGCCCTTTGAAACCTTCAGTATTCAGTTGGACACCTCCGTTCAACTGAATACTACAGGGTGAGTAAAAAATCATGTCTCACGGGGAACTCCCATATTTTAAAAAATTACGCAAAAGGTATTACAATAATTTTTACAAAAGGTGTTCAAATTGCATTCCCTGGAGGCGGGAACAGGTGTTCACACAATGAATGAAGTTTCCCTTCACACGCTAGATGGTGTTGGGCGTGATTGCTGTACATTCACTACGTACCTTGTGCTTGAGCTCTTCCAAGGTCCTGGGTCGTCCTTCGTATCATTCCTATGGGACATGACTTTTGACTCACCCTGTATAAATCTTCTACAACGTTTCCATCAGTCTTATACGTTGTCTGTTTGCAGTGTAGATCAGGTTTTATATGATATAATTCATCAGCACGACACATCTGAAAATCGATGATTGAGCAAAATCCATGATAATTTTTTTCGTACTATATTTCCTGTACCTGATTCCTGACTTTAGTTACAAAATATGTATATTTTCTTTTCTTCAACAGTATACACTTAGGCAAAAATAGGACGTTATATCCAAAATAAATTTGCTCTTGGAATAGTTAGGATGAGACTTTGGCTGGCATATCATGCGTTACGTGCATGCTTTAGGTATTATGACGTTTTATTAGCGCTTATTCTATCGAGTGCAATTTGTTTTATTGTGCGCGTGAATTTTGGAATATTAGGGCAGATAGGTTTTCCTTGAAGAACGAATAATTTAGTCCTTTTTAAGGGAAACATCTTTTTCTCTATTTCAATTGGAAAATAAGGGTAGGAAAAACTTCAATGGGTTTTTGGGCTCAATAGGTCACTGAACATTTCGATAATGAACGACCACATATCTTTGCATTTTTTGTTGACGCGTCTATTCAGCTGTCTAACGGTTGGAAATGCGATTGTTTGTTTTAGGTTCAAAGAGGAACAGGTCAAGATTTTCAAGTTCTGGTAAGCAAAATACACTCCTTCGGCATTTGTACATTGTATTTGTCCTAAGATATATGAATGCTTCTTATGGAAACTTAACGAAGCTTATTCTCATTACTAAGGAGGACAAAGCAATAATAAGCACCAAGAGATTTGATTTTTCCAACTATAATTAATATTAAAAAAAACTGAAAATGCATCATTCTGTTGTCTGATGCCACCTACTGGGATATTCCAAGTTCTTAATTTTTGCAGTAGGTACATGCTTAGCTAACTGTCAGGGATTCATAGAAATAGCTTTGAGTTTGCCATTTTCTATGGGAAAGACAAGTACCTTTCCCATGGGGGGGGGGAGGTCACTGAAGAACAAAGTTGTAGAGGTACCCCATGTTACTAAATAAATTTTCCGTTACATCTCGCTGTGCTAAATATAAAACGAAGATATAATATCATACTGATGAAATTGTGGTCTGACATTGCGGTCTAAGGTCATTCAATAGGGTTAGAGGAAAGCCTCTTACCATATGATTAGACGTATACTAGGGAGTTTACATTTTAATCCAGCTCGGCTTATTATTTAACCTCTTTATGAGGACTTTTAAATTAAGCTATCAAAGAGGTTAAATATGTAAGTCGCAAAGGATAAATATGGGTAGCAGTTGAAACATCCTTTAGGGGATAAAAGCTGAACCATTTTTGCTAATAGTATATGGACATCGTGGATAGTTACAGAGCAATGGCTTCGTAAATATGTCGCATCGGCATTTTTAGCGAAAGGATTGCCAGAAAAGATATCTCGTACTTTGTCACTCTTTCGGAAATGAAATGACAGACGTTCCCATTGAAGAGCAAATGTACGAGCACTTCTGGCAGCATGATGAGCTCCATAGCTCACTGGTTAAATCAGAGTATTAAGAATTAGTCCAAGAAATAAATGTGACCCCGAAAGTTCTGATAAATAGGCTCCTATATTTAAATTTTGTGGTAGATGTTCCATCGAGCTGTGCATGCTGATACGTAAAACGTGAATTTGTTTTATTTCAGATTCTGAAGACCCTTCGATCCGTGAAAATTCTGGCAATATTTACATCGTGGGCATGTTTCTCATCATTCCTCATAGATCAGTCAAGGCACTCGCTTTGGCATGGTTCATTGCCATTATCATGTCGTTTGCCTCATATGTAACCTCATGGGATTTCTTTCAGGCTCGAGAGATCTCTTGGAACAACAAGGTGAGTTTCGAAATTTTTCCAGTCAAAATCTTCTGAAAGATTGAAAAGTAAATAATCTTGAATTCCGGCTTTGAATAGAGCGAAAAGCGGCTTCAGCGATATCGAAGTAAATAGCAATCGCTTGTACACCATCGTTTTAAGATGGCAGGAAATGGAGTGGTCTTGGTGAGGGAGGCTTAGCAGCATGCTCGGATTGAAAGCGCCAACTGGGTATTGACCCGAAATTATATGCTATTTACTCCATTCTCTTTCTCCAGGATGTCGGTACAAGGGCGACTGTAACGAAGGAGAAATTTGCAAGAGCTGGAAATGCGTCTCTCAGAAGGAAAAGTGTCGAGAAGACCAGAAGCAGAAGAATTGTCCCTGCAACAGGAGCTACGAATGCGCCAAGGGACTCCGATGCATCGGCTATCGATGTGATGATCACGTGGATGACTGCGACGGTGAAGATAAAGGATCTGTAGGCTGTTCTTGCTCCTATCACGACGATTGCAAGTCTGGTCTAAAATGCATCGGGGACGTCTGCAGCCATGTCATAAGATGTCAGGAAGATGAAGATTGCGAACGAGGCGAAGAATGCAAGAGAGGATACTGTCGTACTAAACAGTGTTCGACTGCTGGATGTTCGTGCAAACATGATTCCGACTGCGAGTCTCACATGACATGTTACGACAAGAAATGCCTTTCGTTCAAATGCTCCACCCTGCCGAGGAAGGAAGGGTGTCCTTGTTCTGCCGCTGAGCCTTGCGAATGTGACCTTACTTGTGGGTCGGATCGCGTCTGTCGCGAGGAAAGAAGTAGTTGCCGGAGAAAACCCTACGGAAAGAAGTGTCCTTGTCGTCATGATGACGATTGCAGGACTGGCTTTAAATGCTCCGATGACATATGCACACTCGATTGCGATTCGAGGAAAGGAAACATTGGATGTCGATGTAACAGGGGGAAGGATTGCCTCTCCGGATCCTGCATCTCGGGGAAATGCTGTGGTAAACCGGAAGTGGAACCATCAGTTTGCACCCCCGAGTGCAAACAAGGCTATACCTGTCGACACGGCGAAGGAAAACAGAACGAATGTGTTTCAGATGGGTCATGTCCTACACCGGAACTATGTGATGATACCTTCGACCCGGTCTGCTCCAAGATCGATGGAAAAGTGTTCCTCAACACGTGCCGCATGAAAGCTTATCTCTGTCAGAAATCAGTCAAGTCTTTCCCTGGTTACAGCAGTTCGTGTCAGTCTGGTGAGTCTGTGCTGAAACCCTTCGATCAAAAAGTTAACCCTCACATCATTTTTAACGTGTTACGTTCTCTGAATACTTCCTAGTTTGTCCCTTGAAGATCGAAGGACCTAAAAGTACCACTGCAAAAATTCTGGATCTACAAGAAACTGAATTACATGATGGTAGTGTGGTCTCTCTTACATGTCAAATGGGACAAATGTTCAGCAATGGACAAATCAGCCTCAACTATACCTGCTGCGCATGTGGGATCTGGGAAAAAATCGGGGCGCAAAATGACCAAAATCTTCGTTGCGTGGGTAAGAAAATAAAAAATTCACAATACGTTCGTGTTATACGAATTGAGCGAAAGCTGTATTTCTAATCCAGCCGATCCATGCCGATATGAGGACTGCCATGACACTGGATACGAATGCGAAGTAACTGTGAGCGAGGACGAGCTTACTCCTCTGAAAGCTGCTTGCATCTGTAAGGAGCCCAAGTTCGTAGTGAGTCTTCCAGGGAAGAAACCGCGATGTGTTGGTGAGTGTCTACTGCTCTCGCTCTCCCGCAATAAACAGGTGTATATATACAGGGTGGCCTCAAAAAAGGGCACTCTTTTCAATGCGCATTTTAGGTGTGATGCTTTCAATGATATTTTTTTCCGGTTAAATGTCATGGAAAGAAGAAAGACTTAGCTACAAAATGTTTTTGTTTTTTTTCAGACTTGAAATTCGTTAAAGGGGTACTTAGAAAAAATCATTGAATTTCGGTTGCTAAAAATGGCCGTTGCGCTCGTCAACCAATATCCACTCGACGTCCAGACATTCACGAAAAGGGGAAGGAAAACGCTGACCTCAGCAGACTTCGCGTGGATGATTGGATGTGCCTGCCGCCGTATGCGGTGGGTGAGCGCAACACCGATTTTTCGTAACCGAAATGCAATCATTTTTTTTATAAGTCATCCTTTAAGATATTTAAAGTCTGACAAAAGCATTTGGTAGCTGAGTCTTTATTCTTTCCATTACATGTAACAAGAAAAAATATTCTTGAGAGCATCACACCTATTGATAAAATGCACGTTGAAAAGTGTCCCCTTGTTTTGGGCTACTCTGAATATACAGGATGAGTCAAAAGTCCTGCCCACCTTTTGAATGTTAATAACTACTTAACGCTTGATCTCATGGAGATGCGGTTTACACCATTCGAAAGGCAAGACAATTCTATACCCAAGTAGTCGTGGGTAATCCAAAACTCGTCCATGGACAGTCCAGTTGTCCAGAGATGGATATAAGTCCAGAGGCGGTCGTCCGTTGGATGTACATAGGATGCCTTCGCCATGGATCGATATGTTCTCATGCATTCTGAGCTTTATTCGAGCAAAATTTCCCTACATCGAACACTCAATTATTGCCATCTTATTAAATGAAGATTTTATGGAATGGCGTTACGAGGATTCGATAGTGGGATTTATTTTGTTCTTTTTTTTTCCTTCTAATCTCCCATCTTATGTCCCAACCCAATAGCTTCAATCAATATATAGATAGTGTGACATTATAATTGGACCAGTGCATGATTTCATTTAGATTTCGACATTACGAACGAAACGATGTGTCAGTCTTTCGTTGGGCATCCATTGGACGCCCAGCAATAGAACCTCCAAGGACAAGTTCTTATGGTCTTCCATTGAATATCCTTGGATGGAATCCCCGTCCCGTTGAGGCCTTCCATCTGGCCTGACATCTAACAGTTCATTCAATAAATATAAAGTTCCAATAATATAAGTGAGGTCCAGCTCATCTCGGTGCTTTATGTCTCCCTATTCCCAAAATGCTAAAATATTGTTCTGCGGAAGCTTTCATCCTCTACTCGATAATTTCCCACGTACAAACCTAAGAAATGAAGTCATTCTAATTAATTCATTTGGTGAGAGACGTAACATAGCTCAAGGAGACTCCTGGCAATTCTTGCACATTGCATGGTGAGAGTGTGGTTCCTCTTGTGAAGTAACTCTGTTCCATCACGTTATGGGTCATGCCGCTCGTGGCGACGGGGAAAGTAATATCTTGCTAGAAAGATAATGATGGGAAGTGGAGAGATTCGGCTCAATATTACTTCGCTCTCCATCCAATCACTCCTCTCCATGTTCCCCCAAGGAACGTGAGAGAGCGAGATTGTCAATAGGCAGGAAATGCTCCTTTCCTAAACTATGAATATTCATGAGCATAAAAATTTACGCTCCATAGCTACTTGGGGATTACTATCACTGCACCCCTCAATGGTCATCCAAAAGCTTTCCCAAAGGGAATCTCCAATGGATCCAAAGAGACGGACATCCAATAATCCATCCAATGGATATGTCCAAGGATTTTCCTTGGACGAGACATTTAGTCATCCTGGGGATCTCCGAGGAGAATATACATTGAATGTCCAAGTGTCCATGAGGGTATGTCCAATGGATTTATTTTGGATCAAAATTGCTACTTGGGTATGTGAGGAAGGATTTTCGCATTATTTTTCCAATGGAAATGAAATTCCTATACATATACATATACGGGTCATATACAGTAAATGCATTGGCACCCAAACAAATGCGTGCAGCACTGTGTCGAATTTTCTGTTCGACTGTCAGAGAATGTCCAGATCGGTGAAGGTCTGCTGCGTTTCCCGTCCTGTCGACATTTGAGTCGATAAGGGCGAACAACTTGCGGCTGACTGTTTCTCCGATGAATTTCTTCTTGAATTGTCGAGCGGTTTCCGTCGCATTCGGAGTAAAATCGAAATTTTGCAACTCGCTTAACATTGGTCAATCGTTTATCAGCCATTTTCCTCGATCCTCCATGAATTGATTACAGCCAAGGCACAATTACTCTCACATTCGAACAGACAATTGGATGCGGTGCCGCAAGGCGTGTTTTCACGTGCCAATGCCTTTGTATAACCCCCAGAATAGTAATTTAATTTCCGAATGATACCATTAGCAAAATAATGCGAAAATCCTTCATTCGATAATGAATTGTCTCGTCTTTCGAATGGTGAAAACAGCATCTCGATGAGATCAAGCGCAGAGAAGTTATTATATATATTGCTGTTTGATCGTAACTTTCGGTGTGAGCAATAATATTTCATCGTACAGATTGCAAGAATCATCCGGAGGAAGGCTGTCCTTGTCGAGCCGAAACTGAATGTTGTCCAAAGGTGAAGAGCCCTTCGGGAGCCTTGGTCGCACTGTGCGATCTTCAGACGACTTGCTACAAAGACAGCTGCAAGAGTTGCCCGGCCAGAAAGGCGGACGAGGGTTGCCCGTGCCATGACATCCAGGATTGCGCCAAGGGCCACACTTGCAACTTGCGCATTAATCGCTGCATGAAATGCCCTTCGTCTTCGGAACCCTCTCCTGCAGGATGCCCGTGTCAGAGAGGAAAATGTGGCCATCTAGCGTATTGCAACCACGATACCAACAATTGCGAAGGCAAGCTTTGGATTTTTAGAGGGAGTTTACCTTGAAATATCGCTCTTTAACTATACGAAGAAACTTATTCAGTGCCGTCACATAACCCTCCTAAGGTTGGGAGAGTCAGATGTGTAAAGGGATTCCTCCTTGTGAGACGTCAGTGCTGTAATTAGTGGAGATACGTCGTTTCTCTATCACCATTGGATATTTTTGGCCCAAAAAATGCTATACAGTGCGCCCGATTTTAGGATAATTGGAGTTCTCTCAACCCATGAAATATGGTTTCAATAGTATTCACTTCAAAGACAAAAGGAATTTTTATACTTGAAGAATGTTTGTACATACGTAATGCCAGATTACTTTCATCACAAGAATGCAAGAACGACCCCCCTCATTCCAACTTCCCTGCCGCTTAACTTACTTTCGTGCACAGGCATGAGTTCTGAGTGGCATACCTCATATCACCAAGGACTGTTTATCCACTAAGTTTTGTATGCATCGGTATAGTACAAGATGGTTTCAAAATCGATTGACGAATGCACATGATGATGAGCAGTCCTGAACAGGGCTCACGGATGCCATAATCTTCGTGAGATGCGAGTAAGTCATGAGGGTGACGTAATCCATGCCCTGTTGTGAAACGGCCACAGCAGCCGCACGAGCCTCGATCATCATGTAGTTTCCAATTACTTTCGTTGCCCCTCATAATAATCTTGTCCATATGGGACAAGGTGAAGGTTGCCATCGAGCTGTTTTTCTACGGTGCGACGATCCGTAGAGTTCATCCTGTCGAACAGAAGCCAAAGAGGCTGACACGGACAAATGAACCGCTGAAGTTGGACAATTATGGACACGATACAGGGGTGGACACTTCTCGATACATGGGAATACTGAAAGTACTGCTAGTAAAGGGAAACATTTCCAGTCAAGTACAAAACTAGTCTGAGCAAATGACTGGACTCGTCTATGAACAGCGGTGCTTATTTTGCGCGTCTGGTTTGAAGAATAAAAAAGGCCGTTTTCTAAGTCATTTACCTAGTACTAAGATACATCGATACATTTTACATTTATAATAACTTTGATATACTGAATGAATAGCTTTTTCCGAGCATTTCAGTCCTCTCTTTCGGCATGTTGATTGTACAAAATGATGCAAACACAGGTCTTTTTAATCTGTCTCCAGATTGCCGCACGAAACCGGCAGAGGGCTGCCCGTGTGAAGCCATTTTTGACTGCTGCAAGGAACTTGGAGCATGCGGTTGCAATGACGGCAAGTGCTACTTCTGCACAGGAAAAAGGAGAAAATTCGGGTGCAATTGCCAGCAAGATTCGGATTGCGATAATGGTCTAAGATGCAAGCTTGGTACGTGCACGAGCGATTGCGAAGGGAAAAATAAAGATATCGGTTGCAAATGCGAGAAGAGTACAGACTGCAGGTTCTCATTGACGTGCGAAGACCGTATTTGCAAAGCCCCAGCTGGGGAATGTCACAGATTGTACAAACCACCTGGATGCCCATGTAAAAGAGACGATTACTGCGCTGTCGGAAACGAGTGTGAGAAAGGATACTGCAGGAAGATATCGAATCCATGCGATAAAATACCGAAACTAGACGGATGCGATTGCACTGAGGACAATGAATGCAAAACAAATGAATGTAGGAATGCCAAATGTCAAGCTCCATCAGAGGTAGAACCATGTAGGAGGAGTAAATATAGGCCAGATGGTTGCCATTGCAGCAGGGATTCACAATGCGAAAGCCTTGAATGCGATTATAAACAGTGCAAAGGCAAGAAAAATAGATGCAAGGAAGAAGTAGACAGATCAGATGGATGTTCTTGCAACCGAAGTTCACAATGCAAGAGTGGGACCTGTAAGGGTGGCAAGTGTCAAAGAACGGAAGACTCTTGCAGCAGAGAGTTTGGGAGACCTGATGGATGTGAGTGCTATGATGACAATGAATGCAAGAGCGACCACTGCTCCTACGGAAAATGCAAAAGAATGGACGACCCGTGCCAAAGAGAACTAAACAAAATTGAAGGATGCAAGTGCCGCGATTCCAGAGAATGCCAAAGTGGCAACTGCGAAAAGGGACATTGTCGAGCAGAGACAGACGAATGCAATGGAGACTATGACAAACCCAGTGGTTGCGATTGTGAGTACAACCATCAGTGCCAAGGCAAGAATTGTCACAAAGGAAAATGCAGCAACGCGTTTAATCCTTGCAGTGGGAAGTATGATAAACCCAAGGGCTGCTACTGTGAGAAAGGCAGTGAATGCAAAAGTGGAAAATGCGAAGCGAATTCATGCAAGGGCGAAGATGGCAAATGTAACGATTCATCAACCTGTCCAAGTGATTCCACTTGCGTGAAAGGCGAATGTAAAGCATGCGATTACTTTGGGAAGAGATATGACGGTTGTATGTGCTTCAAGGATAAGGATTGTCAAAGTGGAAAATGCGAGGATTATGTATGCGTTACAGAAAATGGTCGCTGAAATCCTCAAGAAATAAAGCTGAGACTGCAGGCATAATTAGTTATTTAATTTATTTAGAGCTTCTTGCTCTTAAATAAATTTAGTACAGTAGAACCTCGCTTATCCGGGCCTCGATTAACCGGTGATCGGATTATCCGTGCGTCTTTGTCGTCGACGTTTTTTTTTCGATACGGCCCTCTTTCGAGACGCGGTACGTGTACTGTATGCAATCATGTGGGAGGGAAAGCAAGAGACTACCAGAAACTCAGAAGACAAGAAATTTACATTTCATTGGGATTTCAGCCGAAAAACCTGCTTTTAACCCTCTCTTCTTGCTAAGTGGTGGGCCGTAAATCATTTTTTCAACAAAACAGACTATTAAAGCAATACCAGCAAAGGTAGGATTAGTATTTTATGAATAAATCGCATTTTAGTTAATATACCATAGCATTACATCGTTTTTTTTTCGAATTCTGGATTATCCGTGGTTTTCGATTATCCGGCGAAGGTCTCCCGGTCATTAGCCCGGATAATCGAGGTTTTACTGTATTGAAATTCATCTTGAAGCTTTAACATGCTCAGATAGAATACTTTGGCTGGTTGGTTGGTGTCACTTTGGTGAAATGAAGAATAGGAATGGACATAAACTATGCTTCTCCTTTAGTATGCCTAGTTCATTCCCTTCCTTTTTCTGCTAAAATTGTTTGTTGCCATCAATCATATATTGGATACCTTCCTATCGTGGCAACCTGATCTGCAGCTAAACCCTTTATGTACTATGGCCAGGAATGCATGGTGCCTTCTTTTTCTGCATTGATACTTGCTTTGTAATTACCACACCCCTAAGTACAACTAAGGTAGGTGCAACTTTTAACAACTCTTACCTGCAGGTACTACATATTTCAAACTCAAACTAGACATTTAGCACAGACACCCCAAAAAAACCTGGCTGGGAGGCATGCCATGTGCCACAAGTACCAAAAGGTTAAACAAGATTCAACTCTTCTCAACTTCTGCTTTCCTCCAAGCCAGAAACATGAATCTTGCCAGGATGAGTAAAACTGGTCTTAGGTTTTCTTTCTGAAGAAAGGTGGATTTAATCAGACCCATGAGATAGAGGAAAATTCTCCCTTGTGACACATGTATGTTGCTCAAACTAAAAAGACTATGACATTGCTACACACTTAATTTGGTTACTTGGCAAGTTCCATAGAAATGCTCCTATTTCCTGATAAATGAGCATCATCTATTTCTAATAATTTATTATTTAAAAAAAAAGGCCATACCCAGGATTTTAGGGAAGTCCCCAAAGACCCCTAAGTTTTCAATTGGAACTTATAACCTGGGTCTTGACTCAAGTTAAGCAAACAAAGCAAAAATACATTTTACTGAGTCTGACTCTGGGCTTCATTTTGTGGATTTCATCATCAGAAACTGAGTGTTATACACGAAGACACAGTATCACAGCACAGGATTAGCTGTGGATAAAAAAAAAAGCTTTATAAATAGCCTATGATAGCAAGAATAATTGTGGGTACAAATTAGGGTTAAACAGCATCAAGGCATATTAACAATTTGCATATTTAATAGCACATAGTAATACCTTGGTAAATGAGATCAGCAGCTCATTGGCAGCTACACAAACATTTCTTGACAAAGAATGCATCTTGTACAAGTTCCGATTGCTTGGATAACAGCTAGTGTAGGGTAGGGCACAAAAATGTTTCACATTTCATTGACCTGTATTTTCATTATTAAATACAATAGAAAATTGAATAACGTGTACTCTGACAGGCAAACTCAAAGAGTCTTTTCATTGTTGAAAGACACACTCAAAGTATTCACTGTTCCTATGGATAATATGTCTATAACATACAGCAGTGTTTTAAATAGCCTTGTTCAGGAGTTTCTTGCGTTATGCCTCTGAGTGCTATAACCACAGTTTGAGCTCATCAATGATGTGTGGATTTGTGGAGAGCACCTTATCTTAACCCATTGAGCAGTATGGCCATGCTGGTACAGCCATGTGCTCCTGGTCTGACAGGAGTGTGGCTGTACTGGTACATCCTGCATCTTCAAATTCAAATTGTAACATTTGTATAGATGCTGTCAGTTTGAACTTAAATTTGGAGGTTCCTGAATATGTCCCACCTTATTCAGTACTGCCATCTTCAAGCTAGTACAGAAAGCAACAGAGAAAAAATTAAATACTAACTTTGGGGTGGTTCGTGAGAGAGAGTTTTCAGTGTTACTCTCTCACTGACAGATGCCCATTCTATTTAAAAAATTAAGCAGACAGAGGTGTGCTTGCGATTTTCAGTGACAAATCTGGAAAGCTCTGGAAGTGGCAATGAACTGATGACAAAACATCTCACATGCAAGGTGTTGGTGGACAAGAAGCGGTTTGTACCAAGAGGCATTACGTGACAAACTCCCTCACAGGAAATGAGAAAGAAAAGGGGATTAAATCAATTACTTCTTCCATATTTCACCTCTAATATACAAGGGTGTATCGGAAAGTAAGTTTCCCATTTCTCTCAAGAAAGAAATATATTGTCAACGTTCATTCAACATTCGATCATAAGAAACCCTGTTCCCATTCAACTTTTCTACATAATCACAACCGACATTTATGCATTTATCCCAACGGTAAATTACTTTTTCCAAACCTTTTTGAAGGAAGTTGGCACTGAGACGTGAGAACCACTCTTGGGTTGCTGACACGGCGCCATGCCCAAAGCCTGGGTCGTATGCGCATGCGCACTGTGGTCCAGAACCTGAAGGGCTCACTCATGCCTTCCCCTCTGTGACTAAATTTCAAATCCAAAATTTGCAATAAAAATGCAAATTTTGGTGCAAATTCGTCACAAAACAAACTCAGCCTGTATCTTATTCATATCTATCTGCTGGCCATTTTTTTAATTGATCAGGCCAATATTTTTTTAGTTGTCAGACAACCAAAGTGTGAAATACGGACAGACAGGACGGGACCATAAGTGGTCTCTTTCCTTTCAGAAAAGGAGACCCACTAAAAAACTGGGTCTTAGATCAGGAGATGTTGCTGGCCATGATATGTCCCCTTTCATACTCATAATGCTTTCTCTTTGAACTTATCAATGATCTTAATCATTGGATTTGATGGAGGTGTTTTATCCGGAAAAAAACGGAGCCAAGGGTGTTGATCATGCATAAATTAATTGAAATGCTTTCACCTGCTACTATGAAGAGAGAATGTAGATAGCTTTCTGATAAAACATCAAATCATATGATTAAGAATATCGTCAATAAATTTGAAGAAAAAGTATTATCAATACAGGAGGAGACATCCCATGGCTAGCATCATCTCCAGACTGCCAGATTTTTTTAAAATGGGGGTTCTTTCAAGATAAGGTGTTCTCCACAAATGCACAGACCATTAATGAACTCAAACATTCTTTGGTTACAGGGTACAGAGGCATAACACAAAAGACACTCAACAAGATTATTGAAAACACTGCTGTACATTGAAGAGAGAGATTATCCAAAGGGAAGGTGAGCATTTCAAATGACTCTTTCAACATAAACTTTTTAAGTTTGTCCATCAGATGACATGTCATTTAATTTTCTACCTTAATAAATAATGAAAATGCAGGTTAATGAAATGTGAAACATTTTTGTGCACCACCCTGTATATGAGCCACATCTGAAGAATGACTGTTTTTCAGTATTTCACAAATATTCTCTGAGTGATCTAGGGCCTCAAACTAGTCTGACTCAAAAATAGTCACTCTGATCCTAAGTTATGATCTGACTGATCATTAGGTTGCAATGTAGCTGAGTGCATGTGATTTACAAAATGTTTTCCTGAGAAGATAAATGCATATGGTAGTCCTCTAAACACACTTTTGATCAAGGATGAAACCTTCAATCTTGTGGACATCTCGTGAGAACCACCCAGATGGTTTAAAAGTGATTTGCGCCTTGTAACCTGTAAGGAAAAGAACCAATTCATGATAATCAAGGTGATTCAAAGCAACTGAATAGTCTAGCACAGAGTCATGCACAGAGTCCTTTTTTTTTTTTATACCTCTTCTGAAATGGCCCATGTATCATGTAAAGTACCAAACCTTCTATTGCCTGCCCTCTTTGAGGAGTCAAGTTTAGGTAAAGTCATTTTGTCCTGGAACTTGATGCATTAACAGATTTAAATATATGTGGAATCTGTAAGCAGACAGAGCAATCTGATATCCCATGTTTTAGGTGGTGAGAGCAGTCATTTTAAGATAGATGTCCTCCTGACTTGTGCCCTTAATTGTTCATTTTACATGCTGAATCTGACATTTGAAGAGCTTAAGGTCAATAGCAACTTACATTAGGCCTAGTACTACTATTTGTTCAGAAGCATGGACATTTCAGAACCTCTTTGAATTTGCACTCCTGTGCTTTGTTCAAGTTCTGTTTTCATATCCTGGAATGTTCAAATTGTAATTTCTTTCAGCATGTTTACTTTTATGATTAGTCACTATCATTTCTTTCCTTAATCCCAGAACTGCCAACCATAGATAAATTTGATGGTTGGCAGTTCTAGGGTTAACCCCTTGATGGTCATGCCCAAGAATACTAAGGTTTGGTATACCATAGCTGCCATGGTGGGCTGGAGGGGGAAATTTATAACATGAAAAGAGACTGCAAATGATTATGACTACAACTCATATGAATAGAAATATAATTTGTCAGTGTTTACAAGCCCTGGATTTATTTTTTTTACAGCTGTACCTTAACAAGTTCAACATTTCAGAACTTCCCCCTGGGGCTTTAAATTCCACACAAAATCTTGACAGTCAAGAGGTTAATGCTAGTATTTTGGGTTGAGACAAGAAGTTTATTTTCTGTAAAGGTCAATGAAATGTGAGCAGACTTTATTCTGTCTCCAAGTGTTTAATTTTCAATTGAATATTTTTTATGCAAGGGCCAATGAAATGCTGAGAATGCCTAATTTTTCTGTCTATTTTCCCCCTTGCTATGTAATCATTTTAACAGAGATCACATTTGACCATTTTATTAGGGTAAGACATGACTCTACAGGGTGAGCCATAAGTCCCAGGACACTGTACAAAACACACCGCTCCTGCTACATATTACTTAAAATTATTATTACTGCTACATATTACAGCAATACAACAATTACAATACATCCTTAGACATCAAGTGCATCAGTATGACGTCTGCCGTTGTCACGGCACAAGATAATTCTTCTCCACATGCAGTGTGATAACTGACACAGCATACCATGTGTTATGGTGGCAAATGCTTCCTGAATGCATTGTTTCAGTTCATCAACAGATGCCATGCAATGTTCTGCAACCTTAGCTTTGACGTACCCCCACAGAGCATTGTCACAAGTGGCCAGGTCAGGACTGTGCGGTGGCCACATGAGTGTTGGCGAAGACCTGCCAATCCAATGGTTGGGAAAAATTTGATTGAGGTAATTTCGTACCGCACATGCTACTAGCATGTGTAGTATGAAATGCTACTACTAGCCTTTCTTCCACTGTGAATGGGACTGGTATCTGCCATTTTGGTTTAATGTATTATTTGTCTTATCTGAAACAAGCAAACAGTATAAATAGATGGGATAAACAAATCTTGCATAGACAGCTAAAACAGTGTCCTGGGACTTATGGCTCACTCTGTAGAACAAGTTATATATACAAATGTAGCCTCACATTAGCAATATACTTGCCCAGCACAATGAGGCCTAGTCAATAAGCATGGCTATGAGAGTATCAAATATGGTGACTATTCCTGTGGTTGTCAAATCTGTCTATGCAGGGCTCTGGTCTATCAGACATGAGGGAGTTTTCTTACCGGTCCTATGGCAAGTAATTTCCATGGTGCCATACTGCTCAATCCATAATTTCCCCACAATGACATTATGAACACAGCATGGAACATTGGACCACGTGTAGGCTTCCCCGTGCCTGTAACAGTCACATCAATATTATTTTCATTAGCATAACCATTCCTTACCTTAAAGTCAGAGGCCAGTAAGGTCCACCTATCCTGTCCACTTTAAATAGTACTTCTAAAACATGCATCAATAGTGACCTTCCTATCCAGCAAAAGCTACTTTTCCTTCTCTTCTAGAAGTGGCCCATTATTTGAAAACATGAATACATACCTGGAGAGCACAACAGTCATGACGCCCTTGGGTATGATTTCCACAGACTTCCCATAGAATTTCATCTTGGGAAGCATGGAACCCGAGAAGATATAGTTCTTATGTTCTGCATGAAAGGCTGAGATTGGTGGGTGATGGGACACCTGTTCTGCCACCAATCTGTGAATATGAATGTAGTTTCGTATGAACCCCTGAACCTGCCTTTTCTCTGGATATTTACCTTCAAAACTCCAATACTAGACCTCCATGATATTTGTGGCATTCCTTGTCTCTAAGAAGATCTGTGATGCTGAAATTCACAGTCATAAAGATTTTGTTTAATCAATCATTTCTGTCAAGTGCAACCCCTTCAAGCATAGTGGTTGTTGAGTGAAGACTAAATAATTCATTCTGTCCTCTAAAGCATGTATAGGGTGAACTATCACTGAATATTCATTTTCCAATATCATAACAACCACTTAGGAAGAGATGAACACTCCCAGTGAATTTCAGCTTGTAGGCCTCCTAAAGAGCAGAATAAACACAGGAGTGTCATGGGGGTTAAAACTACTAAGAAGAGTATTAAGGTATGGAGGCAGGTATGAAGTATGAGGATGGGAAAGGTCAGAGACCCATGATATGCATAAAAAAATATGAAGAAAAATAAACCAATGTACTTTGACCAAGTAGTTCTTCAAGGCCTCTAATGCACTTTGTACACAAGCCTCGAATACTGATATTTAAGTGCATACCTTTGACAGCATCACCATGGCTCAGTGGATAGACTCTGGTTGGCACACAGGAGGATCAAATCTGACTGGTGGCAGGTAGTATTCTCCTAGATCAACTGTTCACCAGGTTGCTTTTGGGTACTACCTGGTACTTCCCTTGGGCTCAAGCACAGGCCACTCTGTGTTCCAATGTGTGAGAAGTAGTGGGTTGGTGCACCTCAATATTGCTCACCTCATCAGCCCTGCTGGCCTGGTGTGCAGTGATGGAAGGCCTCAGGCCTCAGCAACATCATAGTTAGATACATAGTGATATAGTGGATGGGAAGGTGTGGCAATTCCATCAGGGATGTCTGAACTGGAACCCCTTTCCTCCCTATGTGTTCAGCCACTTGTGACATCTATCTGTGTGTGTCTGTCCCAGTCTTACTTTAAGTTTACTTTAATAATAAAAAAGTGCATATCTCTCATTTGTATTAACAGAAAACTCCAAATTGGCAGAAACTTCAGTCTTGGTAGGGTACAGTAATGTGACCATGGAAAACCATTCCAAAAATTTTTAGGCATGGATTTTGAAAGATACCATTTGAACTGGGGAAGTTTTGCATTGTCCTCATTTTCTCCAGTAGTTCTACTCTCATTGGACTACAATAGGAAGTTTCTTCTTTTTTTTAAATTCAGATTTACTGAAAGAATAAATATATGCAACTGGAAAACAAGGTATTCTCATTGAAAATATCAACATAATTCTTTGAGAACAGAAAAATCAAAACCTCTTTTGTATAAATCTAGAAAATATGACCCAATATTTCTTGAGGTTAGCCAAAAAGTTATCTATCAAAGCAAAAAAGTGAATTAAAAGAAAAACACTTCTTCAAGCAAAAATGTAACAGAGAATGGTTAATTATGTTAAGCAGTAGGCTACATATAATAATAGTTTCTCCAAAGCAGAATAAATGAAAAATATATGAGTAGTAGAGGGGGGAATGCAAACATCTGTATTGCCTCAAGGTCATTGGTAGACTCATAAGAACAGATTCTTTACATTCTACTGATAGCTGTATTTGTGAGAAATATATCCATCAAATGAGAATCAAAATGTGTTTGCATGGATACGAGACAATAAGAGCTTTTTTTATCATATCAATTTAGATCTCATCTATAGCTTCCAAAACTTAAAAAAAAGAAAAGCTTAATGTGTCAATTTGATGTTTGAAAAATTTGTCTCAAAGCATACCACCCCTGATAACTCTCATTACTAGCAGTCATTTTGCATGACAAGACCTGCCTAATCCAATACAGGCATAGCTACTTCATGCAAGATGATGGAAGGAGAAAGATATAGGTGGTCCCATCCAAATTCAGACTTGTGATGCTGACATAACTGCCTTCACTAAGGACCTTTGAATTTAACAAAATTGGGACACTTGGAAAAATATTTCAAGCATACTTATGTATGTGGCTATGCTGCAAATACCCATTGTCACCTTAAGCCTAGGTGCCAACCAATACTATTAGAGTGTGGCCCACTGCTTTTGACTTACAGTAGGATGACCAGATTTTTTCAGGAAAAACCAGGATATTTTCTGCCTAAATGTTAGTCCTTGCAATATTAATCATTGCTTCTCATGTAAGCAATCCATTTGTACCAGTACTGCTATCATTCTGAAATCATCACAAGGCAATTAATTCCTTCATAAACTGCTTCTGGCAGAATGGAACCACTCAAGTTTTTAATTCTGCCTTGATTACTGTCTCCACTGTGTTGAGTTCCTTTGGCAGACATTGCAACAGTAAAGGAAATCTCTCTTTTGCACTGCAAACGTTTCTGGTCATTTCCTCTTCCATTTTGTCCAATGATGTCTGCATACTTACTTCATTGCACCAAACACATACACAAACATTCAATGATTGGGTGATATGCATGGAGATGGAAGGTGGTAGATAAATGTAGGCTGCTGTGCAACACGAGATGACAATAGCATTTTAAACATTTTGCTTGATTGCTACCAAAGTGCATTTTTCTACTTGGGAGTTTTTCAGCATAAAACAGGAACAGGTGACAGAATCAAGAGGAAGGAAGTCAAAGTCTCAATTCATCTAAGGCTTGTTCTGTTCTACCAAGAACCCCTTCAATACCCTTAACCAGATGCCCCACAGATGTTATGCCAAGGAGATGCTGCTTAATTGGAGCATATATCTCTGTTGGCCAAGGCAAAAAAAGAAAAGGATAAAGGAGATTAATGTGGACAATATAATTCCCAAGGGGATTTAGCACCCCTCTTGAAAAGCAGCTTCTACTTTCTTGGGTCATCTTGCAAAACAGTTTCATCATAGCTAGAAACATTTCTATTCAGCCTTTCCTTTCCTTTAGCTGAACGAAAAAATTCCGAATAAACTCTCTAGATACATTAGCAGCATGGAAATCTTGTACAGCGTCTTGCCCAATATGCACTCGTTAGTCTTCAGGAACTGTAATAATCAGTCTTCTTAAGAGAGATTGTTTGGTCATATTTCAACATGCCCTCTGATCAATCAAATTAGGGCTTGGTAGTAAATTGTAGGTCAGATCCACCAAAAGGTAATCCTGATTCTGATTCCAAGTGTGAACATCTGGAAAATGTGCTCCTCCTTCTTCAAACTTGGCATTGTTTTTTCCCTATTTTTAGTTGAGTTATAGCTTTGGGTTCCCAGAAGGAATTTCACAATTTTTTATTTCCCCCATGAATAATCTTGACTTGATTTTTACTGAGCATCCTTTGCTTAAAAGATACAAGGGTGCTACATAATTTTATGAGTGTCACTGTAGGTGTGCATGCATGAGCTAACATATGTATGCAGGAGCCTTTCAGTGCAGATTTTCATCAACATCATTCTCCTTGGTTGAAATTACATTAGGAACATTCTTCCAGAAGGGCTCCAAATCTTATTTGATAGGATATCAATAATTATAAAAATTCTTTATTGCATTTTTTTTTCCAGTCTCCAAATTAAGCCTTGAAACTAGAACATATCCAGTGCCATCACCTGTTCCAACTTCACAAAACTCAAAAAGTTATGCACCCTTGTCACCCCACACAGTCATCATACTATGACAGCAGCTAGGGTTCATGCATTAAAATGCCTTAAATTGCAAAATAAATTGCATTCAGATATTACGAACATATGAATATTTTGGACATTTCAAGCATATAGTATCATTTATGATTAATCAATTAACTCCCTGATGACTAATATCAATCAGAAATGAATTAAACAAAATCACTGCAGAGACTTACTTGAATCCATCCCTTTGAAGTTCATATGTTTCCCCCAACAGAGGATTAAAGGGCTTCATCATTCGATCCCAGTTATATGCTCCAGCACTGATGGCAAATGCTGCCACATTCTGAAGAAAATGAAAGAGGTTCATGTGATGCATCATCAACTTGAACTAGATGGCATGTGGAAAATGCCAATTTCAGAAATGTATGATGCTGAGGAATGAACTTGGTAGAACATCACATACAAAAGCAGAAATGCCAGCAGGTAAAATCCACAAAATAGAAGAAAGAACAATCAATATTGGCCCAACAGAGACCTTTCCGAATCACCTGTAACAGCACTCTTGAAAGGGTAAAGAGGAAGTTTGACAATGGAAAAAAAACCTGCTAAATTACCTCCATTCGAGCAATTGGGTCATCTTCTTCATCAGCGTCAGCCAGGAGGTAGGAATACTCTAGGGATTCAGCCATCCGTTGAAGAAAACTTAAAGGCTCGTTGAACTGGATTGGCATGGTGATTTTTGTCAGATCCTTCCCTATGCATGACTTTAAGATGGCCCATATGTTCACATCTTCCTTCTTCTGTTGACATGGAAGTGTATCCCTATAACAGCATAAATGCTATAAGAAGTTTCACGAGGAGACTTTTTACTGCATTGGGAAATGACAAACTGTAATTGACTTGTGCATTTTATTGCACATTCTAATGATTATGAGTGCTGGGTAAAAACTATAATCTGATACTTTTTAAAGCAATACATTATAGAGCTAATTACTCTTCACATCATATCACCCCAGCCAGTAATTAATTACATTAATCCTTAAAACATTTTTAAAAACTTTGTAATTCTTCTTATATTTTACTTTTCCACTATAAATTTTTCCATTCTATTCCACAACCAGTAATGAATAAGAACTAACATCTCCCTTTTTCATCTAACTTATGCTTCAAGTTTCTGAGACTATGCAGTGGAAAAGCAAACATGAGTGCAATCTGATTATAAGGGAATACTTTTGTGTCAATTTAATCAATAATTGGTAGCTGATTACTTTTAAAAAATTAAATGGCACAAAAGTAACAAATGAAATATTAGAACTTTCTCTGTACCAATTAATTCTTTTATTATTATTCTTTTTTTTCAACAATAATGGTAGAGGGACCTGACATCCAGAATACTCAGAAACTGATTGGAAGTAATTTCAAGAAGCAAACAAAGCTATTCATTCCTCTAAGTAGAGAGCTATGAAGATTGAAGAATAAGACAAAACCATGCATTGCATCATGCTCTGGTGATAAGGTAAAAGAATGATGAGTCCTGTCAATGTGAAGTTTCCTAACAGGGTATAGAATATAAGAAAAAGACCAAATGCATATTTAAAAAAAATCATAAAGAGGGACACATACATAAAGTATTTTGTAGGACTCAATATATCTCACTGAATTGATCCCATACAACAGTAAAAATGTGAGGGGCCAAAAGGATGAAATAACTCCAAATTGAAATCTGCAAAGACATGGTGCACTATAACTACAAACCAACATCAATTATATTTTCAACATCAATCAACATCAACATCAATGACCCTTTCATTCTTTGGGACCATCATATTTTTACGCTGCTCTATGCAGCACGTCATGTGACTTTTTCTGTATGCAAGAACTACCATACTTCTGCCAAACTCAAACTCAGCAGGATGCTTCAGGATTACATGAAGAAAAGAATGCATTTTGTAAGCTGAATAAGCAAGAAAAAAAAAGCAGCTTTGATTGAAGAGGAGTCCTCTGAAGCATACATTTAGAAAATAGGGTATTCCACACTTTATATTCCTCACCTAGTGCCTTCAACATGATGAAATAAAGATATTCTTTGTAACTAATTCCATTTGTCATCTGTCTGTAACTAATAGGAATTGCAAGTGCAAGAACCAAACGAACTAGTAGGCATAATAACAAAGGAATTCACAAACTATCATATGTGAAGATTAAACTTGATTGGATAAGTCCCTTGACCTGTATAACCCCAATGTGGGGGGGGGGGGGTGCGCAAAACGAGTAATGATATATTTTTCTAATTTCTATCAATTTTTGGTTTTAATGTGACTAATAAGAGGAAGGTGATAGTTAAGAAATGAATTACTGAATACCTCTCTAGTTCAATTGGAAGTGACCTTTTTTCACATGTTGTAAAGAAAAACCCCAGGTGTACAGTTGGTGCCAAACCTACTAAGTGCTACATCTCTACTCATCGTTATTCTCTTTCAACTAAATCTCAGGTCTTTTCTTGCAACCTTACGACCTAAAACTTTCGAGAAAATAAAAAAGGTCAAGCACAAGAAGTGTAAAATGAAGCTAAATTGACGAGGAATAACCTTGTATTAAGAAACAACGGTGCCAGAAAGTAAAAATAAATAAATAAAAATTACACCAGCCCTCCATTTACAGGTGTCTTCTGAAGTTTAAGGAGTTTCTGATAATGGTGCTGGGCTGGATTAGCAAAAAAGTTCACAGAACCTAGTCCCTGAGTCAGGCTGAACCTCATTCCCCTACCACCATGGAAAGAAACATGGAAAGAAACAAAGAGCATAACTCTTCGCGAAGAGACTGACAACCTGAGGCAGGCAGCAGAAAGAGAATCAAGTGAACGGGAATGAAGAGTGGGAGCACACGCGTTGGCAACGAACGGAGACCTGGCCCAAGATCCCGACATCACGGAGCATGAAGCTTCACAAAATGGATATGAACCCACCTACACAAGAACACGACCCCTAGTCATACCTTGCTCGAGGCACGGCATCACATCATCAGTTGATGTGATGCCGTGCCTCGATCTCCGTTATTCCCCGATCTCCATTATTCCCAAGGTCCCATCATACGATCGTCATTCATTCATCTATAAACAGGACAAGTGCCAACCGGTGAACGGAAGCATTACCCATGGAAGGCCTACAAAAGAAGTCAAGGTCAACGCGTCGCATACGCCTGGTATCGAGAAGGGAACCACTTCCAGCGAATGAAGTGAGGGCATAAACAAAAGCGGAATGCGTCAACGGAGTTTAACATCCCATTGGGCGAGATACGACTATCTGAAGCCCATCTACGCTTCGCTGCACCACTGACCGACGTCTTTCCCTTTGAGGTCTGACAGGATGCCGGCTTTGAGACGCGAGCAAAGTACATCATATCCATATGCTGAGATGAAGAGGAGGAAAAAGGCATGCCCCTGAAAGACAAGGATGTGAGAGAGAGAGGCTGCAGCCACCAACTCTAAGTCCTAAAAATCGATACAGGAGTCCCCCCTTTCTCTTTTCCGAGCAGCTTACACGATACAGCTGGCTCTTTAAGAAATTGCACTCTAAATGCAGTTCGAGCAGTGAAGTGTGAAGTGAGCAGTGAAACTTAAAAAAATGTCAAATTTAGTCCAGTATCATAATTATGAACGAGCGCAACCAAGTTTCCCGTTTCTTTTCCTACGTTCTTCGTTCTCCCTCTCTCTCTCTCTCTCTCTCTCTCCGCTTTGCCGCACCCCTGAATTACAGGAACCCAGATCGATGGAACCATTTCGTGCAAGCTGGACATACGAGCATAGTTCTGGCGTATCCAGAAAACGAATCTCCATGGTGTGCGATCCACGAAACATTTGCCTTACTGGTCATTGACATTCCTAGGGATCGAAGACAACATATCGGAAACTCGAACCTCTGCGATAATCGGTAGCAAGGAATGTTGCCACATAGATTGCACTTAAGAGATTTCATGACGACGAGGCGGCATTCATGTGACTGAATAGGCCTCCTATAGAGGCATCTGCAAGACCTCTATATCCCTTAAATCCTGAAACCCTTGAGGGGGAGATCCTCAAAAACTGATTTGAAGTGAGCTTTCCTGAGCTTGTAGAGAATCCATGGCACAGCAGAACGCTGAGCAGAGACGGAGAATGGAGATGGCATAGAGGAATGAGAATCTTTCCAATTCCATTCCCATCTCGGCATTCCCCTATTTGGATTCGGATTGGTCCAAAGAGCACATCGTTGCAAGAGCTTCGATTAAAGATTCCAGACAAGCGCTCAGACCTCCTTCAGCCAGTAGTGTTCCGTTCATCTCTCTTTAAAGGCCTGAAGTGCGGTAAGGTCTAAAAACCCACATCCGGGCTTCTGTGTTATATGTGGTCAAAGGCAATGGAGTCACGGATAATAATAAAAAGAAGAAAAGAAACTGGATGATGCAGGAAAACTTGCGAGGCATGCTCTTCACTTAGTTCTTCTCTGGTGAACCAAGAACATAAACCTCGCACATGCAGAACGGAGACAACTGGCTACAGTATGAAGGAGTGGGGGTGGGGGGAAACGAAAGGAGGGAAGAGAGGCGATTTCAAGACGAAGACTCACCGTTCCTCTGGCAATTGGAGTTCAGACAAGGTCCTTATTCGGACTCCGTGCTTGCGATTCGGCATCTCAGGACCTCGCTTCGACTTCACTTACATAGTGGGAGGAACCAGGATATACCGAGCTTTTCCTCCACGTCTTAGCTGAGTGTGTCCAGTCTGGGATCCAACCGATTCCTAAACTAACCCCAAACTTCAGGAATCCTGTTCTTGGATATCTGTATCACGGAGGGGAGGACAACAGAACGAATGCAGATCGATCCGAGGGTGCTCTTCGTCACTATTCCAAGGCTCAAAGGATCTAGTTGACCTTGCATTTTCCTGTAGCCCCTAACGCAATCACCTAATGCCTAGTCCTGGTCAGAGTACATGTAGATAGCAAGGCCCACCGATTTCAAGTTGTTTCGAAGCAAATACATCCGTGGTATGTTACATATCGGCTATAGCTATTTCCCCCTTATGGATGTGCTATCCCATTTTCGTCGTATCGACTCGCAATCGAGTTCCCCGAGGAACCCCTCTACTAACATAATTAGATTCCCCTCCCATTTCCCGTCCTGACGTTGGCGTACACCAGTTTCGTTCCATAACTCACTTCCATGGAATGATTGTCATTACACGGGGTGCGACTCACTTTAATCGTAATACTCTTGGCAAACAACGGCCTCGGGTCCCTCCGACGGGTCTTCCCGAAACGACCACAATGCAAACGACCACCGTGCAAACAGACCTCTAGAGAAGCCTTCCGATGATAATCATCGGAAGGCTTCTCTAGAGCCCGACTACTGACGAATGCCAAGGCCACAATAACTAACCTGTGCCTCATATTAACAGCCTCGTAGAGATTCCCTTTCATAGCGACGGAATCAATGCAAGATTGGGGAGCACATCGCAGGATTCGCGAACCTAAGTTTAAAAAGTGACGACGACGCACATGAGAGGGGAGAAGAGGACGACACGGAGAACACGCGGAAGATGGAATGAATGGATCTGAAGAAGGGGCACGAAAGACGCTTCGACCATCCCCCTGTAGAGGCCTTCACGGCAACCTCTCATCCAGTGCCGCACCCCACATTTATTACTTCATCTATGCGTCCCTTTCTACCTTATAGTCGACCCTAGGAATTCATATAATGGCAGAAAGGAAAGTTCACACAAATCGCATACCTAAACACTCTCATGCATTACGTTGACCCCAGCTCAACACCAAAGAGATTTCTCTACTCTAAGCTAGACAGTTCGCATGAACGAAGCTTCCTTCAAAGAACAGATGATGCGCGGGACTGCGGTTCGACTGCAGCTACCGTTTATAGCGTTGACATAGGCCTCTAACATGGCGAAATACAGTGAAGCGCATGGCAAAGGCCTCAAGGATCGGTAAAAAAAAAAAAAAAGAGGGGAGGAGACGCCAACGTGCGTCCTCGGTCAATCTCTCGTTCCTCCGTTTCTTTCCCTGCACCTTCCTCCTCTTTCATCCATCCCATGACCGGATTTCATCATCTGCTCCTCTGTCAACGCAACGAAGACGTACAATGAACCCCGGCGGAAATAATGGCCATATCGCATTTCCGCTTCCCTTTGAGATCCTGTTCTCACCCATCACGAGGTAATGGAACACATCCCTGGAACCCATCTCAATCACCACGGGATTCTTCATCCCCTGCTTTCATTATCCGGAGGTATTCCCTTTGTCGCGCTCATGCACGTCATTCTCGACGCTTTCCCTTTCATTGCGGCTGTTTTCTCTAGAGGGATTCATTAACATCTTTCTAGCACTGGAATCGGATCACGACTCAAAAAAAGTTATTATTTGTCCTCCCTACAATGCAGGAGCAACAAGAGAGATATTCCTGATACCACTTTGTAATGAAAGGCCAGCCGACGGGCTGGCTTTCTCGTCAGGGATTGCCTCCATACCTGGGATGGCAAGGGAAAAGCCACAGCTGAAGGCACACATTGATGCATCATTTCACGACATGGGAAATCATAAGAAAAGGACACTGACGATAGCTAGAGAGAGAGAGGGGGGGAAAAAAACCTTAAAACGTTGGGGTGGGGAGAAAAGAGATAGAAACTTGAAGTCGTCTGACTCTGAAGGGACTCGCGACTCATAGAATGGCACTGAAGTGTCGGGTTTCTCGGTTCTAACTCGCAATTAAAATAATAATAATAACAAAAAAAAAACCTGAGCAGTCGAGAGGCTGAGGGCGGGCGGACTCTTCATCGACCCGTCGAACTCCCGAGAGTCTCGTGTCTTGCTAACTGAATCAAGGGAGAGCTCTCGAACAAAGTGGAATTTGCTGGAAATTCGGAATTCCTTTCAATGCGGGAAAAGGAAGGGCTAGGGTAAAAACTCCAACAGCCAAAGGTTGAGTCGGACACATTAAGGTCGAGTCGACCGCACGAGCGAGCATTTTCGCATTTTACCGATTTACCCTAAATCTCAAAATAAAAACCCTAAATAAAGAAGCTCGGGGGAACCACTGGGTTTTATGCATGTATTTATTTATTTTTGGCTAGAGATTTTTTTATCCATCTCCCAAATTCATTCATCTAAGGCCAATGCCGTAAGCCCCGTGGACTACGTCCATGCTGTTCCCCTTCTCGTCCTAGGGCAAACTCCCTAAACTTGACCAGAATAAATCCGGAGAGGGGCACGACTAAGATTCACCCAGCAATGGAGTCGAAGCAAGTACCGCGCATAAGGAATCGAGGCAAGGAGAATTAGTAGGCAATATTCACTCAATAATGGTCTCAGGATGGCAGCTTCACCGACGCCCTCCTCTGCCGTCACACCCTGTACCACGTTTAGTCGCTCATCTTGTCCGAAAGGCGTCATCATTCCATAGGACCAAAAGCACCCTAACACAAGAATACGGGCCAGAACATGCCAGGGACACCTTGTCTGTCAACAAGGGAATAAAAACAAAAACATCTTGAACACAATGCTGACTCGTGTCCTATATCTTGGTCGTTAATCTGGAGGAGTCTGTCCTTGCCACCTCTTCCTGCTGAGAATTTCAAACAGGTTATGCCATGAGCTTTTTTAAATTTAGTTATTGGGCATTCTTTAAAAATTAAATCCACTCTTCTATTATTCAGTGTATCGTATTTTTGCCCGCAGAGGGTTAGTTATGACACTATGGAGAAAGGAATAA